ACTGACGTGTGCGTGCGTGCGTGCGTGCGTGCGTGCGTGCGTACGTGCGTAAACCTAGCCGTGTAACATGGCCCAGCTACTGTCACACAGCGTGCTGTGACGTGTTTCTTTCTAATGCGTGACATTGTGCATGTGTCCGTGTGTGTGATGATACAGCTGTCACTGTTCACACTTCACATGCATCCAGCAGTTACAGTTTGCTTGTTGTTTTCCATTGTTGAGATGTGATCAAATTAAAGTTGCTATCGTTAAATAATACGCCTAAATGATCCAAAGTGGCAAGAAATTGTTTCTTTAAGTAAAAGGTCAAATAGGTCAAATAGGTAAATGCAAATATCAATGGAATAGATTTTTACATGTTGATTTTCTCAGCTCATCACAAGTATCAGCATTAATTGATTAAATGAGGTAGAGCTGTATAAATATATTAATTTTACATTTCGTTAACGTTTCATTCATTATTAGAATCTTGAAAAAACTATAATTCATGCAGAACAGTTACATGTGTAACAGTGTAAAATAGTGAGCCATACGCGTAATCTGCAGAGATCATCATTTTGCTATTCAAGTCTCAGTTTTAAGGACATTTTTGACGTTGCTGGCTTGTTGCACAGGCATCAAGACGTGAAGACTTTATATGCGCACGTGTATCGTGCAGAATAGCTGGGGGCCATTGTCAGAAACATCGTAAAGTTAATGCTAATGTTAATGCTAAGAGAGCACTTACGACTGTTTAAAGACTAATGTTAAGACTAATTTTGTTTCTGACAACGGTTCCCTGACCTCTGCTCCAGTGCTGACCTCTGTGTTTGCGTGTGTCCGCAGGTTACCCGCTGCACGCGCCGGAAGCCTACTTCACGTACTTTCGCAAGCACAACGTGACGCACATCGTCCGACTCAACAAGAAGATGTACGACTCGCGACGATTCAAGGAGGCCGGCTTCGAGCACAAGGATCTGTTCTTCATAGATGGCAGCACTCCCACAGACAACATCCTTCAGCAGTTCATTGACATCGCCGAGGCAACCGAAGGAGCTCTCGCCGTGCACTGCAAAGGTGCGTGTTAGCGTGAGCATGGGTCTATAGTAACGGGGTTAGAGCAATAGTGCGTGTGCTTTTTAAACTTTCAGTGTCATTCACCCTCGATTCATTATCACAAAATTTCGTTCGCCCCCTGACTAAATTTCCTTGTGTTTGGTCATTTTCGTCTTACTTTCATTTACCCCAAAATAATTTCATTCACCCTTGGGTGAACCATTCACCAGTTTAAGAAGCACTGGGTTAGGGGATTAGTGTATGAAGCAGTCCGTGGGAGGGTTAGGATGAGTGGCTGGGTCTGGACAGGGGGGTATGGGGTAGGAGCATATGGTAGGACTAATGATAGGGTTAGGATAGGTGGCTCAGTCCGGATAGGGGGGTATGGGGTAGGACTAATGATAGGGTTAGGACAGAGGAAAGTTAGGATAGATGGCACGGTCACGACGAGCGATGGATGAGCGTGCTACGTTGTTAACAGCTGTGTGTTCTGTGATTGCTGCAGCTGGCCTCGGTCGCACTGGCACCCTCATCGGTTGCTACATGATGAAGCACTACCACTACACGGCAGCTGAGGTGATCGCATGGATCCGCATCTGCAGACCCGGCTCCATCATCGGACCCCAGCAGCACTACATGGAAGAGTACGCACCAACTCTCTCTCTCTCTCTCTCTCTCTCTCTCTCTCTCTCTCTGTTACCCTTCAGTTTCCTGGGCAACATAGGTCATTTGTGAACTCCCTCCAGTCGCTCGGTTGGTCGCCTTCCGCTTCATTTTCCTCCAGGTGTAGCCCTTCTTCTTGAGTTCCGCCTCCGAGTCTCACCTCCAGGTTACTTCAGGCCTTCCTACCCGACGTCTTTCTTGCGGGTTAATTCCAGCTCAGCGTCGTGCATGCTATGTCGGTAACGCACCAACTACAGTACACAATCTGTTATCCGAAACCCTTGCGACCCCAGACACGTTTCGGAATTCGGAATTTTTCCGGATTTCAGAATGGTAGTACAGTACAGATATACATACCGTATATCCTGCGACGTGCAACTAGCCAGTACTAAAACCCAAGTTTTCAAGAGGCCAAGTGCTGTACCGGTGCATTAAAATATGTATGAGTAATGCGAAACACATTAATATTTATGCATTGAATCTTGCGCAGCCAAACGCAAGCTTAGGTGTATAGACGACCTCCACCAAAAAAACTTCTGGTTTTCGGAGCTTTTCGGTTTTCAGAATTTCGGATCATAGATTGTGTACTGTGTTATCATCGTCACTCAGTTCACTCAAACAGCATCCAGAGGTCCCAAGTTGGGAAAGTCCAAGAAAGGGAGCCAGCAATCCAAGAAAGGGAGCCAGCAATCCAAGAAAGGGAGCCAGCATTGGCCCAACAATCCAAGAAAGGGAGCCAGGTCCATCGCCGATTTTTCGCAGTGCGCAAAAATAGGAAAAAAAGTTGTGGCGGGCTGCGATATCATATATGTGTTTGCCGCGGCACACCACCATTTTTTATAAAGTATACATGTAAAATCATCGTTTTATCGCCTTTTATTGTTCGCTGGAATCAAAGTACATCAACAACAACGGCAAATTTAGTAATTTATTGATTTAATGATGTAAATTTCCATATGGCTGAAAAATGTTACGACCGGGAGCTTCTGACCTCATTCCGGGGCACCGGGAGCAGCGTGTCATACCGGGAGTCTCCCGGTGAGACCGGGAGACTTGGGACGTCTGAGCATCTCATCATGTGACAGCACCATCACGCGGGAGTCAACAGTCATATCTCTACGTGCAATGATGTTATATGAGGTTGTTCACCTCGAGGAGTTTACTGATGAACAGCAGGTCATTGACATTTCTCGACATTATCGTAGGCGTGTAGCCCGTGTGTGCTGGGAGGAGGAAGGTCAACAGCTGTCGTATGATTTTAAAATACGAATATAAATGTCAATTCATTCCTCACCCTGCGAATCAGAAAAAATAACATTTTAGTTAATTTTTGGTAGGAGAAACAAAAATGGTAGTTATGAATAGGTGTAGAAATACGGTTTGGATGAGGGGGGGTGATAATGTTAATAGTTGTTAGCGGCCCCTTTGTGATGTGCTAACTTCAGCTACAGTGAACACTTTTATTCTGACATTGGCAGAAATATAACGAAAAATTGCTGTCCTTTTATTTTTATTTTTTACATCAGCGGATCCATGAACAAAGTTAAAAATATTAATAAAGACGCGCTGTGACATGTTTCTTTTTAATGCTCGTGACATAGTGCATGTGTCCGTGTGTGTGTTTGATATAGCTGTCACTGTACATACTTCACATGCATCCAGCAGTGACTGCTTGCTTGTTGTTTTCTATTGTTGAGATGTGATAAAGTTACGGTTGCTATTATAACATTATCAAGACATTATATAACTGATGTAAGAAATAATTATTTAAAAAAAAACAGCTTAGCTGTACGTGTGCTCTCTTGTTTGTTGCAGGATGCAGATGGAGATGTGGCGGGAGGGAGATCTGATGCGGGTGCGGCAGAAGTGTCGCGACAACAACAACATGGACACCGAGCTGTCACGCAGTCCCATGTCACACATCACATCACGCGTCGATGACATCTGCATCGAGGACAAGCTGCCAGAGAGGATAGAGGATTACGATAGCATAATTAAGGTAAGCTTAATACGCATTTGCTTCCTTAGGTTACATCAGTGCTGGTGTTCAAGTGGTTCACCCAAAAGTGAATGAAATTATTTTGGGGCAGATGAAAATGGGTGAAAAACACAAGGAAATTTAGTCGCGGGTGAATGAAATGTTGTTATAAAGACTCGAGGGTGAATGACACTGAAATAGTTTAAGAAGCACTAGGTGATATCATCATCTTACTGCTGGACAGCATGTATAGCTTATTACTTCAAATTGCCTTTCATCTGCCACTGTAAAATTGCATGCAGTTTCTTACCCTCGATATCTCGATATTTGCTTAAATGTATTATATGCTAATCACCTTTAGAGCTTTGCATATTATTTGTGACTATAGTGATCTCTAAAGATGACTTAGTATTATCTAATCGTAGGTAGATGTAGAAGAAAAGTTCATTTCAAAGTTCAAACCAGCCGTGTGTCATCTGTTACTTGAATATATTAATATAAATTTTAATGCTTGCTTCTTTTGTGCAGTCATTCCCACCTGGCTGTTAAACCATTGCATGCTATTAGAGGGGTTTAGTGGCCAAAACATCACTATAACAGAATATAACCTCACCTTGCTCTACGAGCAAAAACCTAGATATTAAAATGTTAAAATTAAGAAAATCACGTAACATTGGCGGTTTTTGCGGATTAGGAGAGATCTTGAAGAGATGTGGTATCGTTTCCGCACCTGTGCTAACTCTGTTCGCTGCTTCTCAGGAGGAATGTGTTGTTAACCCGGTGACACAGAGTAACAAGTACGAACTGCGAAGCAGCAACAACAACGACAAGCTCACTCAGGGAGATGTGCTCAATCAGATCAAGGCTCAACGCAAGATGCATCTACGATCCGCCACCAGTGGCTCCATCTGGTACGTAGTGTCGAGGAGCACTAGTCGCGGGGGATGACACACACACTGGCTGTGCTTGTAACACCCACACACACATAATACACACACACGCACGCACACAGGCATGCACGCTGCCCGCGATGTCAAATGCTTCCTGCTTACAGGAAGGGTACATTACTTACATTAATGCTTCTTCACCTCAGCATCAACATCAGTGCTCTACTTCCACTCAATGTTATCTGCTCAGCATTAAAGCTTCCTGCAATGGCTCAAGCTCATCATAATTAACGCTCTCTGACTACATCAAGTTTCTCACTTCGCAAGTCACAACCATAGATGGACATAGGCAAGGTGCACCAAAGCATGCGCCGACGGCCGCAGTCCTCTACACATCACCGTCGTCGAGTCCCCCATGCCGTGCCACGTCGGCCGCTGAAGGTGTCAAAGGTCGGCCGGCTACCAACAACCAACACAACGTAGGCATCCGCTCGGGTCGAACGACCCACAACCGCGTTCTGTGATCGCGACTTCATCTACGCACTCAAAAGGATACTTTTAATTGCTCGCTCCTCGCCCAGCGGTATGGCGTGCCAGCGGACATTACCCACACAGCACGCACGCCTCAGGCATCGCGTGCCAGCCAACAGATACGCGCACAGACAGCACACACTCCTGCACGCGACACGATACACAATCAAGCATCACACGCACAGACGCCACCGGGCATGGCTTTCAACAGATAACACCCGACGCGGCCGCACGGCACTTACACGCGTCGCCTGCGGCACTACACATGGCTCTCCTAGGCCACGCACTCACACGGCCGCTCACGCACAGATAGATTCAAAGCAGCCATCGAGCACTGCTATCAGCGGCTACCTATATGAAACCATGGGCTGCAGTGATGACTGATAGCTTAAACCTGCTAACAAGCCACTGCCCTAACATTAAAGAGTAGCATGAAGCTCACTATAAGCTAGAAATCTATCATAAAGGGCTGAACTCATAACATAGTATCTAAAAATAAACTTCGGACAACCTATCTATTGATCTTTATAGTCGAAACTATTCTACCTGGGGCTATACATGTTTATGGTCTCTTGTAAGTTGGAGGGCAGTAACTCACGTTCTCTTGTCTTGTCATGTTCTCATCAGGGCAAATCGTAGATTGTTATACTATGTTCTCAATGTGATGTTTCTTTCACCCTTTTCTATGGGGCATTCCAATGTAACGCAAACATTATGACAGACTATTATAAAAAATTTTTCTCGTGAATTTGGCTGAGCGGTTAACCGTTGACTGGAAGTTGAAAGTGAATTAGTTAAAGTGAATCATTAACTATAAACATTCACTAGTAACAACTTTATGGGCGATTTCTGGCGCAAGTTAGCAGCGTGAGCAAAAAGAATAGTTCCTTGACTTTAAAAAGAAGAATCAAACAACAGTTGCATTTTTTATCTAAATTTTGTGTTAGCACAACATCTACTAATTTTCTTATAATGACATCTATATCATATATATAATTGACCTCGAAATATATATATATAACTATACCATTCTATATATAATAATAACAATAAAAATAATTATATAAATAATAGCAATATATCAATAAAATAAAAAATATATATGACAGATAATATCTACTATTCGACTAAATATATATATCTATACCTTGACTTTGTTTTTAATATATATATATATATAATTTTATAGCACTGCTCATTCTACATAGTATTTTATCTGGATACCATTCAATTACTATTTTCCTATATTCTTTCAGTCTGTTTACAAATCTCTGGTAAACCACTGTACTATCACATACTGGTTATGACCTTCGTTTCTTTTCAAACTAATGTGAATACTGATACGTAACGTATTCATTTTGCCTTTCTCTCCTATTATGCTCTCTAAATATGCGAACTTTGCCCTTAAAACTATATAGAATTCTAGCTATTCGTGTAGAAACTGACATATATATTCTCCTTCACGTATGTACGTAGCTATAGTAGAGAGACCTGCTGTCACTGCATGTTTTTCTGTCTTGATTCTCGGACGCAGTGCGTGGCAGTCTAACGATAGCCTCGAAAGCCGTCGCAACAGCTACAATCCCAAGCTGACGACGCTGTCTGACCATCGGTCGGCGGCGGCCCTCGATCCGGGCCGGTCGGCGCTGCTGCGCGAGCGTGAACGTGAGCACCGGACACTGTCGGCTTACGCCACCCTCAACCAGCGCAACCGCTCTAACGCGAAATTCATTGTAAGTGTCGCGTCGCGCGGCGCGAGAGAGGCATGCGGGATTTGCGTCGCATGCGCGTGCGCCCCCTGTCGTGTCGTTCGGTCAGCTCGTGGTCAGTGACTGGATTCACGCAATCACTAGTAGAGCGTGCTCTGGTCAGTGGCTGAATAGACACGACTGCTAGAACGCTCCCTTGTTAGTAGCTGGATACACTTGACCACTAGAGGGTGCTCTGATCAGTGGCAAGATATCCATGACCACTAGAAGGTGCTCTGATCAGTGCTAGTGACAGAATGCAAAAGAACTTGTGTTGCTTGCATCATGACTAACACTGGATTTGTTAATAAAATACGGTTGCCTGGCACATCAATAATATAGTATACAATCACCAAGATGCCCAGAAAAGAAGAATACTTATAGCAAAAATATATCACTACTATTAGTGATATCTATTTTTGGTTATAGTAGTAGGTAGTAGAAGCAGCAATAGTGATGGTTGTCGTTGCAGTGGTGGTAGTGTTAGTTGTACGAGTAGCAACACTTAATAATAATAAATGTTGCTACTGGTACTAGTGTTGTTGTTGTTGTTGTTGTTGTTGTTGTTGTTGTTGTTGTTGTTGTTGTTGTTGTTGTTGTTGTTTTGTTGTTGGTTGTTCTGTATGTGGACGTTGCAGTGTGAACATATTAATATTGTTTCAATTGTGTTTGTGTTCGCATCCTCTGGGAAGCATGGTGGTTGGTTTACTCTGTCGCTCTCTTACTATCTCTCACTTACTATCAAGCACCTTACTGTTGAAATCCTTTGGCATTCTGAAATTATTTTGCCAACAATGACTATATTAATGTCGGCAGTATGTGCCACACTATTAAGACATCTCCTGATTCTTGCTACTTTAGAACCCTGCATCGGTAATGGTGTAATTAACATTTGCTTAGGGGTTGATAATGGGTAGGTAATGGTCCGGAGTAATAGAGTTAAGGCAATGGTGATAATAATGTTTGATGTATGGGGGTCCTAAATTAGAATCGGGTTAAAGGGATAATATACTCTAGAATTATTAGGTAATTGAACCAGGAAACCTTTTATGTAGCGTAATTTTAACCTATTTTAACTGAAAAATCCCAAGAACCTAGAGTAAAGTATCCCTGTAACTTCTCATCGCATTGCGCTATGTTTGTATTATCGAGTATTGCTGTGTTGTTATAATGGCTTCTTCTACGTGTTCTCTCCGCAGCGCTCGCTCCGGCTCTCTTCGTATTACTAGAACGCCGACGACGCAGATCAGGTGACCCGTCACCACGCATCCGTACAACCTCCGCTCACTGCACTCGACCCCCCGCTTACGTCGCTGACCGGTGGCGCCACCTCTAGATCCAACATGGCCGCCGCAGTGAGGGAGTGTTGCGGTGGGTTCGACTCGCACGTAGAAACGTCCTTCACACTCGATTTTTACGAGTTTTTTTAAGATGCGTGATTTCTTGGGGAGGGAGGGGAGGGGGAGCAATGTGATCCACGTCATTGTGGGAAGCTGTGAACTACAATCATGATGATAACTTCTCCCGCAAGGTTTTAATTTGTATATAAAAAACGTTTCGTTGAATCATGGTTTTTTTATGTAGTGTATGTGTGCGTGCCTGCGTGCGTGCTTGTAGACACGTTAATATGACGTGTGTTTATGGGAATTTGGCTGGAATCAAGAGAAGTTGATGATAGCATTTTAGTCTGCACTTTACACATATTTTTAACAGTTTCTATATAGCCATGCATTTTAAACAATTTTGCATGAGTAGGTTCAATTCCAATCAACCTAAACAATCATGCCGTTGTTTAATGCTTTTCCGTGAAAAGCATGGCGTCGTGTATTTTTAGTGTACGTCGACGCTTGCTAGCCAATCAATGCCTGAACAAGTTGTTTCTTCGCTTGTCGTCAGTCTGTGCGCGAAGTACAGCGATTTATCGTATTCACATTCTGCCGTATATTTGCGCTGTTGGCTCATGTTTGCTTTGTGTTCTTTCATATTCGCTGTTGTGCGTTGCTGCGATGCCTGTGTTAAGGCATCCGTGTTGATTAAGAATGCGACCATGTTGTGTCGGTGACGAGTCATTGAACTTACATAGCCTGTCATCTCTGTCATGGTTTCACTTTCCTCCCCCCTCTGCTGGAAGGGGGGCAGGGTGGACGATTCAACGCCGACATAACAACCCTAGATACTACAGCTACTCACTGCCATACTATGCGTATCTGGTTGCATCGGGGCATGATACATTTCGAATAACGGTGATGTAAAAAAAAAAATTTTTTGAGCGCAGTGGTGCTTTCGTCACGGTAGTATTGACTTGTAATCGTTTGTTTTTACTTTTTTCTTCGCGTTTTTAAATAACGAATGTAGTTTGTAGAATCTTTGTGAATTAGATATTTCTCGCTTTGTTTACAACCTATATCAAGATGGCTGGAGCAGCTCCACTTGTTTACCAACAGGCGATTAACTGATCAAGTCCTAAACTGATTAAGTGTTAGATACTTGTCATCATTTTACTTATGAAACCATTGACTACTACCATATTTTATCTTCGAAAACAGTGCGTAACGTATGATGTATTTTGTGTGCGACTACGCTGAGCGATCTGTACAAACGAGCGTTTGATACTACTACCACTCGTACCCTGTATGTACTCTGCAGCATCAGGGCTTTTATACAAGTACATACATACACTATGTATGTAACAGTACATAGCTGTACGATGTGAACATACGTATGCTAGCTACCGTGTACGTAAATTGCACGCGGAAACATTTTTATCGAAGGATTTTTTTTGACAGTTGTATTCGTGAGGCCGTGGACGCTGTGGTAACATTTCCTTGTTGAATGATTGATGAAAGTTGTTTCTCGCGAGTTGTCACCAGCTTCAGCTGATACTGCTGATACGGTTTTCCTGTAAGTTGTAATGTTAAACCACTGTGTCGTCACTATTACGTGAACCCGTGCGCGTATATAAATTTTACCGTGCAGGTCACGTGAAAAACGCACTGATGATGTCGTCACGTTGTTATTGGACCCGTGAGAGCGATGTGTAGTTTCTACGACGAATTATTCTACACGGTCTAGTTGTTATTATTCGTAACAAAAAATTTAGTTTGTATATAGAAATGGGATTGTTGTGTGTTATGGTGCGTGTTTACCCCCTGTAGTACTCAGTGGTAGCGTTGTCCTGTGTAAAACTGCGAAAGCTGCCATGACAGTTGGTAAGGTCGCTGGGGCTTTATAAGGTTTACAACAACTTTTGCACAATCTGCAGGTGACTGGTAGGCTCTTATACTAGCCACCCTATCATTCTTGTAGCAGCGTAACAGTCCATACTGTTTCTCGATGGAAAAGAGTCGTGCATTCATTCAAACGTCATGAACCTGGTTCACCTGCGTGAACGCTGTTTTTATAGTTGTAAGCTATCGCTGTAGTTTTGCACTTGTTTGTTGCGTGATGCACACAATGAAATAGTCACTACTGCAGCCGCTACTTTGTGTACATATATATAAGAACGTAGTGTCGCTGTTGTAGCGATAGGCGAAGGTGCCCTTGAGAAAATAGGATGAGCTACAAAGTACAAACCAAACTCGATTTGTGAGCGTACCAGCCACTTTGCTACTATAGTTTACAATATTAGGTAGAGATGATTTAGATGTTAGTAGTCATCGTTTGCGCTCACGTTATGAATAGATACTGTGCCGTACCTACTATCACGTCTTATTAATGCGAACTACACCTGTTCAAGGCTGTTGTTTATAACCTGCTTCACTGGTGTCTCTGCTATGCATCCGGCCATGATGCGTAGTTTTCGCGGTTGCCGCCAGAGGGCCAGTAAAGGCAGACGCGATCGGTTACCGATCTTGTCGAGCATGTTGCCAATGACTTGTATTCGGGTTGAGTGGCACACTCGCTTAGCAATAAGTTTTTACACGGGGAGTAACAAGTCGTGCGAGCGTGCGTGTGTGCGTGCGTGCGTGCGTGTGTAAGCCTTGTAAAAAGCTTATTGACAGTGTTGCTGTACTATTTGTGGGCTCATTCACACGCTTCCCTACCGCACGCATGTGTCGTCACGTATTACAATAACTTTATTACATTTTAAACTTATCGTTGTGTAATTGTATTCATCATTGTTTTGTATACAGAAGCTATTTTTATAAGCAAGTGTGCAATTTGGAGCGAGGAAAACGAATGCCAGATGCATTTCATGTGTGATTGAAATTATTTGGAAGTTAATTGAAAATTAGAAGTGCTTTTGTCACCACGCTATATACCACTGCTAAACTTACATTGGTGAAGTAGTTTCGTGCACGTATGTGTGTGTGTGTGTGTGCGTGCGTGCGTGCGTGCGTGCGTGTGTGTGTGTGTGTGTGTGTGTGTGTGCGCGCGCGCGCATGTGTGTGTGCGTGCGTGCCTGTGAGCGGACGGCTATATGGCGCGCCTTTTCATTTGTTTTCAGATCTGTATAACGTTAGGGAGTTACGTAGTAGCAGGAGTAGATAATATCTACCTATTACCTATACCTATACCTATTATCTACTCCTGTAGTAGAAGTTACTAATACGTGTTGTACGTGTCACTGCCGTTATACAGTGTTGCTACAGAAGCCGTTCGCTGCGCTAGCGTTCGTGCGTGTATGGCGGTGCGTGTGTGCGTTCGGCGATGTAGAAATCTGTCAATCAGGATGTTATGATAAGTGTACTAGTAAACGATATAGTGTTATGCGTCATCTCGGGTATTTTATAGACGCAGAAGATAGAATAGCTATGCACATCTGCAATAACATTTATAGGATTTTGTAGTTGTTGAGTACCGTCCAACACGTGCATTGCTGCCAGACGATTTTATGATTTCATGTACGATGAATAGTGAACATATTTTTAAGAAATATTCAATTAAATAATTTCTGCTGACAATGTATCTACCTGATGTAAATGTCTGTTTTTTTTGGCATTTACTATTGTCATTATTTGTACTAATATTTTATTCGCTCATGTCTTTGGCATAGCGGTAGACAACCTGTCGACCACCTGGTGAATGCACCGTAATCTGCTTCATATACATGCACACATTCGATATCGTATGGGAAACGCAGGCATTACTATGGTAACAAGCGGTAAACCGACGCGGCACACGCGCACGCACGCAATCAATCCGTCTATCCACAGCGTGGTGATTCTGATGGTATATATTATCCTGTATTTTCATTGTGTTTAAATGTATTAAGACCAGATTCGTGACCTAACTGGCTTGGTCTAAGGTAGTTTCTCAGCAATAATGCCATTTCATCATTCAGACGCCTGTCATAATATGGTATCATGGTATAGTATAAAAGTCATGATAAGCTACCACTAAGCTGCCACTCCGCCCAAGGTTATCATATCAGAATATGTCCCCACACATGGAGGATTACAAAAATCCATATCTAGACTTGCCACCTCAGGTGGTACCAGAAGTGATTTTTGGGTCTGAGCCCATGACTATATCTGTGAGTATATGCCCATGTGCCCGCATGTTTATCTCTTGCACACGCTATAGCTGCAACAAATATCCAATACTAATTGTTAAATAATCCGCGAATTTGTACTACATAGCTACAATGTATATTATCATTATATATCGTATTTATTACCTCCGCGCAACGAAGGTCATGTAATCGGTCTCGTGTGT